AGATTTGATCGGATCAAAACTAACCCAAACCTTAAATTTAAGAAGGACAACAAACAAAATACCTTTCCAATTCCTACTCCATCTCACAACAAAGCATTCTGTTTATGTTGACATAAATAGAGCCACTATATCTACAAGCTGTGCAAAATAGCTTTAATCTTTGAAAGTGAGACGAACTAATCCAACTCTCCAAAGGGCTTTTTATCTGGTCTTGCAAAGTAACTTAACCAGGAATCAATTAATGCTTGAGTGTATGTATGATCATAACAGGGATTGGTCTCCAACAAAAGATATGCAGACCACGCAAACTTTCCTGGAAAGAAATTTAAGGTCATGGGATGCCTAAAGCGATTTATTTCCTCAGTCAATCAATCAATTCTATTTAAAAAAAATGAAAAAGGAGTCGTAATCCAAGGTCAAAAAAAAGACTTGGGAGATCCCTTGCCATGCAATTTTATATGGGCCAGGTTGTATCAATATTTCGTTGATTGTTCTCTAAGATAAACACCGATTTCAGGTTATACGAATGATTGGTGCATGTAACATCGTTCAAACAAATTGTACTACCAAGTTTACAAGCTAGATCTCCATGATTCTGGTTCTAGCGACTCAAGATTCTTAAGAATATGTCAAAGGTCAAACTTGGTTTCGCTGCAAAAAGAAAAAGAAAAAGAAAAACTATCTACTTGGGTTTTTACTATGGGGTGATGAAGGTTTCAAACTTGAAGCTTCGTTTGGGAACAGTGTCAGAAGGCAAAATCACAATTTAACTTGAAGCAAAAAAGCTAGAGGCTAGTAAGAAGTTGAGGTAGTGGCAATTTATTTATACTTGCACAACACATTGCTACAACAAAAGAAAAGGGGCACCACCGTAGATAAGGACAAATGCATTAAAAACCAAGCACAATGGAAAACAAAACAGTGGCAAAGTTGTGGCATTAACACGACCAGTAAATTAATAAACGTTTATGCAAGGATTTTCTCCAGAGGCTTGGCTTCCAGTTTGGTTTTCTCAATCTCCTGCAACTGCTGCTGCTCCTTGGCCAGCTTCTTTAGCCTGGCGAGCTCCAGATCCTTGCTCATCTTCCTCCTGTACATCTCAGCAAACGTGATGGGTCCTCGAGAATTGATTTCTCTCCCTTCCTGATCTTGAGTGGGTACACGGTTGCATTCGGTGCTGGGTTTTGGAATGTGGGTATTGACAATCTGCTGCAGTCTGAGTTCACCACAGCTTGGTGATCAGCGTTCTTGAACCTCCCATTGCTTAGATACTGCTCGCCACAGATAAATTCAGTCACTTTGAGATTAGCCCACACTCCAAAATGATCAATTGATTCACACATGAAAGCTCCTCTATGCTAGAGGTCAGTGCTAAATTTAGGGTTTTAAATGAGAAGAAGTTAAGCGGTAATTATATAGATAATTATACTGTGTTTAAAATTTTATATTTATAATAATAAAAAAATTAAAAATTGAGAGATGACAGCCATTCATCTGTGGGGTCCACCCATCCTGCCTAGCCAACTTAAGAATTATTCTTTTACATAGGGCCATTTGTTTCTTTCAATAAATAATCCTGCGTAACTAAACTGTGGTGAATGACTTGATGCTGAGATCTACTCAAAGCCTATAAGTCAATGGTACAGTGAACTTGATAGTTGTGATCAAGTGACATTCGCTTGGACAAGTCATAAGGCACGTCAGTGGACATTTCAAGTTCAACCTTCCAATTAGCAATTTCACCAATGTCCTATTACTTTCAGCTCATCACGTAACCAGTAGAGCATGGTTAGGCTCGGGGAAGTTCAAGTTTACATGGCCATGATCTCCTAGGTCGACCACAAAGGCCCCGTCAACGGGTTGAACAGTGATCCAAGTCTTGCCATGGTCCCTGGTAGCCTGGATCCCACCAACTTGGTCCTGAAGCAACAGGGTGATGGCGCCAGGGTCCGTGTGGCGCTTGAGTCCAAGGGTGAGGTCGGGTTGTGGACATTTGGGATAGAAATTGCCCACCACTTTCAGGTCCATGTCCACGCATGCCTTAGTCTAGCCCACCTTGTCTAAGTCCATAGCCTCTGACAATACTTCAAGAAGTTTGCAGGCTAGGCCCATAAGCTTGTCGATATACTGCTTTGTCACTTTTTCCCATCCCTCTGGCTTATCGGGTCACCTTAAATAGTCCGGGACCTTGAGTGGGTATGGAACGTATGTCACAAGCTATCGCCCGTGTTGCACTGCTTCTCCCTGCAACAAAGATCAATGTCATGGATGGAGGTTATTAAAAAAAAAAACAAAATTTCATGTCTCTGTTATCTGTTGTTCAACGCAGATTTATCATTATTTTTCATAGCTAATAAGATACTTTCAGTGATAATCATAGAAAGAAACTATGTGCCCTAGGAAGACCAGATAAGTCAACAGCAACTAGAAAACAGTCCTATTCAACCCAAAAAAGGCCAAAAGCACAGTACCTTAAGGTGGCTGGAAATGATGAAGCCACCCTTCTTGCCACCAGAGATATCAAAGCGAAGCTTCTCTTAAGCAGGCAAAGCGATAACTCCCTGGCAAGACGGGTCATCTCGGAAATGAGTTTAGTATCAATACCATGATCAACGACCAAGAAGATACCCCAATTCTCACAAGCCTCGACGATTTTCTTGCGTACCTCAGCCCTCCTGCCATCAACGTCATCGATCCCAGCGAGAGAGATCGCGGGGATTTCGTTGTTGAATTTGTTGTAAGCAACCTTGGGACGCTCATCTTCATCACGAACAAAGCTTGCATGTAAGGTTTTCTCTTCTGCAAGGGCAGTGACAGTTGAAAGAGCTATTAACGCTGAACCTGGAAACATTCTCTTGGTTTTAATGGGGCATGCGTTAAATAAGTATTTATCTTCTTTAACAAGGAAAGTTAGCGTAGAATGCGATATGGCTGTTGAGTAGAAGAGGAGGTTTATATAAACATAAGCAAGCTGTTTGGAAGGCGAAAATTAAGATACAGGGAAGGGCGTGGCAGCTCTAGCTACCCTTCAAGCTCGTGAGTAACCTCGCACCAAATCTCCTATCCCCTCCCGTGCCCCACTTTCTAGCCCTGTTAATATAATCACGTCATGTGTACTATGTTTCCAACGACGTGTGAAGGGTTAGTAATCGACACGCCCAGTAACTCTGTGGAGAAAAGCCCGCACCTGGTAGCTCTTGCTGCCACATCCGCTGCAGCAACCGTAGTATTATTTTCCAACTCCGCCTCTTCAGCCATGGACTCTCCTCTCAGGACAAAGGTTTGCAACATCAGCAGCGGCCCCGCCGCCCACACTGTCGCCATCTACACCGCCCGTGCTGAGCTGAAGCATATTCTCTTCGAGGGCTGGATGGCTAA